GAAACTGTCCTGGTGTGGCACTCCAGTTTCTCTTACATGAGGCTCTGCACCGCGCTTCAAAGCCTGCCATGTCCAAGTTCTTGAAAGGTGACCAGAGTCCTACAGGAAGTGTGTGGAAAACGCCTTGCTTATCTGCCTTCATACTGCCAAGAAAGGGTCCTGGTTCTTAATGAGATGGGTTGCCTTGTTGCAGAGAGATAAAAGCAAAACAAGATCAAAACAAAACTGAAAGCCATCTAGTTCAGAAGGGCCTTGTCATCTGAGGTTTAGCAAATCCACCTGAGCAGTGTGTTCCCTCAGAAATGCACAACTCCTGTAGTTTCTGGCTAGCTGTCCAAAAATCATTGCAATTTGCTCTTCTGTTGCCCTTTTGCTCCCAAGTTATGCTCACAGGTTGTCATGAAAAATAGGCCCAAAGTGCAGTTCTGAGTCTCACCCAGGATTCAGTAGGATGCTGGGCTGATCTAAAATCCTGGAGTGTGCACTTGACAATTATGGATGCTCGGGTTCTCCGAGAGCAAACAGATACTAGATTATAAAAAGCCAAGTCTGGTTAGGAATGTGCATCTTAAATCACTTCCCTGGGACAAGGTGAAGAGTCCCTCTCTCTCTCTCCATGAGCCCCTGCCTTCACTTGCTCTAGTAGACATCAGGCTGCCCCCTCCCACTGAGGTTAGCCTTTCTCCTCCCTCTGCCCCTTCCCCTGCCCCTCAGCTTCCTGCAGCACAGGCTGTGTGACTCCCTCTACCAGAGCCAGGGGAACGCTGCAGGACAGCTCCGGGAGAGGGCACATTCTCATTGCTAAGAGGGAAATCCTTGCTTGAATTTACCCTTGCAGATTTTGCCCTTTTCCTTTTGGAACAGCAAAGCAAAGCACAATATTTTCTGCTCAATTCTGAACAGAAAAGCTGTTGCACCGCCTCTGCTGCAGGAAGCTCCTACTTGTCTCTGCTTCTCACAACAGCAGACTTGACAGAAACTCAGAGAGGCCCAAAGAGCAGCCCACTGAAGAACAACAGATTTTCTTTTCAGAAGAGCAAAGTTACTAAAGTACTTAACATTTAAACATCTAATCAAAACAGCCTTATTTATTAGTTTTTGTTACTACATGAAACATACTTATTCGAAATGCTCAAGCAATACGTAACAGGAAACACTAAAAATGGAAAGATCTCATTTCTTTCCCATCCAAGTCACTTTCAAAAACTTCTTTCCTTCAGGTATTTTCTGTGCTGTGGTAAAGGATTATCTATCTGCCCTTCCTACCTCCTATCATCTATGTATAACCTACCTATCTGTAGTATCTATCTGATTGTGCTGCAAGCACTATTTTTATATTCTTTAGCCTGTTTTGGCATGTACCGACATCTTGGACATTTTTTTTTTAATCCATTATAGCTCCATATTTTTAGTATCTGCAGAAATCCCACTGTTTAAATGCCATGTTTTTGTAAAAGTGGAATTCACTCAGTAGAAGAAAGGGCATTTCTTATTTCTAGAGCATTTCACTTGGGCTCGGCTGTGATCTGACCTGCACAGTACAGACTGAAAAGCTCTGCATGTCATTCTCACGGTTCAGTTATTAAACACAATGACACAGAACTCTGGACAACTGAGCCAAACCTATGTAATTCTGTTCCCAAGGGCACAACTTCTCAGCAAGGGTTAAACCTGAGGTTTCTTCCCTGTGGTCCTCCTGGGATGCACCTCCGGGGGCAGATGCTGTTCCGCTGGCCATTATCCCCCGAGCGAGCGAGCGAGCGAGCAGTGCTCGATACTGTCCTGTGTTGCATGAGTTGATCATGCTGGGTAAACAGACCGAGCCAAGGGTATTCGCAGAAAATGTGTTAACGAGAAGTTTAAGTAAAGATACTACTTGACTAAAAATGTGAAAATCTGCTTCTCAAATATCAAAATTGGATCCTATGGGGATTTTTAATTCCCCAAATAAAAGGTTTTCTGGCACTTCTAAGAGAATGTCCTACAAAAATCCGTACCTAGACTACGGTGTTGGTGAATGCTACTGGAGCTGGACGAGGAGGGTCCCGGGAGCCTCCTCATGCCTGCAGCTCAGGCTGGCCCTGGGCACCCTGCTGCCTCCGCTCCAGGGCAGCGATGGAAGCCATGTAATCAGGGCCTCAGCCCGAGGAGCAGCGCAGTGCAGGATGCCCGCGGGGTGGAGCCCAGCCAGCTACCCACGCTTGACACTGGAGACGGCTAAATTGCCTTCCTCAGCCCCCACGGCTTTCTGAAACCTGTGATTTTGTCTCTCTGGCAACCTGCAATTGTTCATTTGTTTTTATTTGCTCAGTCACCCCAGGAGGAGGCTCCAGCCCCAGCCCCTGCTCCCTCAGCAGCCACCTCTAGGTCCTCACGTGGTCCTCCTTTGTCCTGGTATCACGGCCCAAGAGGGCAACGCCAGCCCAGCCGCAGCACGGGGGGCCTCGGGTGCTTCCACCTCCCCCTGTTTCCTTCTGGCCCTGCTGTTTCTGAATCTCTGTACTCCCTCTACCCGGGCCTAAGGTGACGGCCTTCTCCTTAACCAGAGCAGGCTCACATCCTGGGCCTGCTCTAAGCAGTGGCTCCCCTCAGACTGCAAGGCCACCCACCACATGATGGGACCAAGCGTCTAAGACGGCCGGCTGCAGTGTCTGAGTTGCCGTCTGGGAGAGAGCAAGGCGCCAAACCCTCAGGTGGAAGCCCCAGGGCAGGACTGTGGAGAGGCAGGGCTCCTGTGCTGTGGGACTGGATAAAGGGCCCCTTCCTGCACCCCGTATCATCCTCTCTGGTCCACTGTCATCCACCAGTGAGGTTCTGTCTCCCTCAGAAAACCAAACTCAGTATGAGCACACAACGCGTGTCCGGAACCTTCTCAGCCCTAGTCTACACAAGCCTCGGGTTGATCTATCAGACAGTCACCTTAGTCAGCCATCCGCCATCACTATCCCCCATCCTGCCATGCCAGGTGTGCTCTGGGGGTCACAGAGCTCATGGTCCTCGCTGCCACTGAGGTGACTCCAGTGAGCACAGCAGGCCCCTATGCCATAAAGGTCGAAGGAGGACAATAAAGGGATGAAGTGGCCTTGCCTGTGAAGGGCTCCTGCAGGGTGTGGTGCCCTGTGGGCAAGCCAGGGTGGCCACTGGAGAGGGGCTGGAGCAGAACCCACAGCCAGCGTGCACCTGGGCCGTGGTAACTGCAGGTCACACAGAGGAGGACCAGGGCCCGTGGGCTGAGGAGCAGCAAGTGGCCAGGGTGGGCAGAGCAGGGAGCAGGAGCAGGAGCAGGAAGGTGGGTCCCACAGCTGAGGGCCAGGACTCGGCCACAGGTCGGACCTGGGATTTTACTGAGTGAGAAGGGAGGTTCTTGGGGCATTTGGGAGAGAAAGTGGCGGCCCAGCTGCCATGTGGGGCTGGGAGTCCAGGGAGGGCAAGATGGGAGGCCAGCGGGGAAGCGGACGCCCCGGGGAAGAGACTGTGGTTCAGCATGGTGGCTGCCAGGCAACGAGAGATGGCGGCTTTCTGGCTTTTCAAAAGTGAAGAAAAAGCTGATGATGTTCTGATTCCTAGGACAGAGGTTTGTCCACTAAAGAGAACTCAGAGCCCTTCAACGCTCAGGGGCGAAGAAGTAGCCCTGGCCCCCCTCCCTTCTCATCTCCCCCCCCCCCCTCCCCACCCACCCACCGACAGCACTTCCCTCGTCACATCAGGGACTTCTCCAGGCTCATTCCTGGAAAGGGCCGCCTCCCCCTGGAGAAGCAGACACATGAGGACTGGACCTGGTGCCAACACCCGGGGACGCTGGCCGAGAGGCCCCTTACCTGCAGAAGGCTCTCAGGAGAGCGTGGGGAGCTTAGGGCTGCTTGGAACCAGCGGTGGGATCTAGGGAGGCAGCGCTCACTGCGAGTGCCAGGAAGGCAGTGCAAGGTGCAGAGTCTCAGACCAGAGCACTCCAGGGAAGGAAGGGTCCCCTGCCCACCTCCCTGGGTCTCCTTCCAATGCTGGTGAGAGGCCACCTGCACTCTCTGCAAAGCGCCTCCTGTCCACACTCCGACTGCTGGCTTTCCACAATCAGCTGATTTCTAGATTTCGTGCACCTTCGGTAGGAGTCCGTCTCCTTTAAGCAGTTTTCCCTGATCATGGCTGCGAATTAGAATCACCTGAAGAGACTGAAACTCCCAGTGGTCAAGCTGCAGCCCAGAAAAGCCAAGTGGGGATCTCTAGGGTGGGACCCAGCCTGGGCATCAGGGGTTAGGTTTTTACAGCTCCCAGGTGACTCCCAAGTGCAGTAGAGGTCAGCCACCCTGTGAGGATGGAGCCCGTGGCTGGGGGAGGCAGGACCCCTCTCTATCACAGTCGCTAGAACCTGAAGAAATGCTTTTGTCTTGGTAGGTAACCCTAAATTACAATTTTTCCTAATGTTTTCTTGGTATTTTCGATTTTAAGTTATCTTCAAATAAGTCCTAAGTGTCCCTAAATCAAGTAATTGTTGATTTTTTTCTTAATTTTTGTGCCTAAGTCAGCAAAAACTCTCCTGCATGTGAACCTAATAACACTTACATGCAGTTATTTATTTACTTAATCATTCCCTCTCTCATTTGTGAAGGCATATAAGGGGAGTTCTATTCACTGATATGAGCCAGATGATAAGCAGAGGGAGTAAAATGTCATTAGGGCAATAAGGACAGTTACAGAAGAAAATACAGAGCAAGTGTCCACTATGGCCCAACCAGTGCAGGACCGCTTCACTGGTTCCTTGAACACCACTTAATTTTGAAAACATTTCCCTTTGGGCAGATGCTGTCTAACTGCATTTGTTAAAGATTATTTACAAACTTTAAGCAGAAATAATAAGTGCAGCTCCTGATCCAGCCTGTGGATTGGAAGCACAGCATTCTCCTCAACACCATCTGTCAGAGAGATGTACGCTTTGGGCCTCAGCCCTTGAGTCATGCTTCTTCTCCAGGGGTCACCCACATCTCCCTGACCGCCACGGTTCTTACCAGATGGAGCAGGGACCCTCCTGAGGAGACGAGAGTGTGTGGATCCGCCCCTTCCTTCAGGAGCCGGAGCACTAGAAAAAAACGAGAGAGGAGAATGGAGTTGGAGCAAGTCTCTTCCACCCCTGACCACGAACTGCAGCGCTTCGTTGACACCCGAGACCAGAGCAGCTGAGACAGGGGAGAAGCACAGATCACCACCAGCTTCCATTCCGTTTGGTGACAACTGGTGGGTTTCTCCTCCCAGCCAAACATAGGCCTCCTCTTGGCCATGACCTCCTCGTGGTCATGCAAAGGAACAAGGGTGGCCACATCTTCAGAGCTGGCGTACTAAAGTGTCCACTCACACTTCTTTAGTACAACAAAAATAAATAACAGCCACTACTTCACTGGGCTCAGGTGGCGTGAGGATGGTCTGAGGCCTGAGCCTAAGCAACCCCATTTAAAACTCCAGTTTGAAACCTGCAGTCTCACCAGGACACCTAGGAGCCCTCCATATGGCCCTCAGGCACCAGCAAGTCACTTCCCCACCCTGATAAACTCAGAGTGAAGTCTCAGGCAGGCTGTTCTCACCCAATAAGAGGGAAAGGTGAAGGATCAGGGTGGAGACCAACAGACCAAATGTTTTAACCCCAGGGTAAATGATGTCACTGAGAAATGTGGTGGCAGCTGATAGGGATTGAAAGGGGGGGTCAAACGTCCCCAAATTTAGTATAAATAATAGATCAAATGAACAGACTTTCAGCCGGCTGACACTGATGCCCTCAGCCGAGAGCCTGATGAGGACCTGGACTGACACCCCAACACTTTTCATCCTTTGCTGATCCTCTGCATCTTCCTCTCCGTTCTCGAACTCTACAGCCACATCTTGACCCTGGAGAGAGCTGCAACTTCTCCCTCCGACACTCTCCTCAGCCAGCCGTCAGCTACACCCCAGGAGAAGCCTGCCTTGGTTCCTGACCTGGTCACCGTGGCCTGAGTGAGGGGGCACCTGCTGGACTTAAAGACTAAGGCTTGAGACTTTTGAACTGACACTTGAACTTAGCAGAGGGAATGTCTGTCATTAGCCTGTCATGATTTAGTGTATTTGCAATGCTTAGAATTAATTAATCTTGACATGTTTGCTGTGAATTGATGATGTCCATTGCAGTGCCTAGCATTAAGGATTGTCATTTTCTTGATTAAGAACCTATAGAGTGAAATTGTGTTGAATGATTTGAGTGAATAAAGCATTAAAAGGGGCAGAAGCACTTGGACATTCTTTATTTCTCCCCCTCGACTGCTTAAGTCTAACCTTTTGTCCATCGCGACAGGAGGACATTAGGCCACTGTGCTTGCTAACCTTGTCAGGGCCTCTTGGTTGAAAACAATCAGAGCTGACATTCTGCACCTTTAATGTCCACTTGTATCAACAGGGCATGTCTCTGCCAATCTCACAAAGCACTGTGGGAGAAAGCCATGGAGATCCCAACAGTGACGTGGCGTACATCAAAGCACACGCCACGTACCAAAATAAGCTCAGCTGAAAGGAGGCCTCAGTTGCCATCTGAATGCAAAGGTGAACTCATTAGCACCAGGGCTACCGCTGGGCAGTGAGACTGACAGAGCTGCATCCTCTGCTACACACATGGTGCTTAGGGGCAGCTCAGTGGAGAGGCCCTCAGGTCCCCAAGGAGTATGCTAGTTCCCATGGTTAGTAGCAGTATCATGGTCTTAATAAGATTGCATTAATGCATTTTTCACAAAAAGTACATTTAAACCAAAAGTTACTCTTATTATAAGAGAACTGTACAAAACAGCTCAAGGTCATCACAAGGTCATCGCTCACTGAGGGATCCTGTCTTTCTACAACCATTCTCCATAACATGAAGTGACCTCAAGGCCCCTTCTTGTCTATTCCTCCAGCTCCCCTGTCTTCTAGACCTCTCCTACCATCTTGCCCAACTCCACCTGACCCCCAGGAAGGCCTGGGTCAGACCAGCTATCCCACAGCCCCTCCTCGCCAAGAAGGCTAGGTTCTCTGACGCCACGTGCAGCAGGGTGATGAGGCAGGCTGGGCTCCAGATTGCCCACCCCCACTGGAGGTGGCCCAGTGAGAGCAGCCACCAACCTAAAAACAGCCCAAAGTGTCCCTAAAGCCTTTCCTTAGGTCAGAGCACCCCAAGTCCAAAGCTTGCTTGCCCAAGAAGTCACACACCTTCTTGTTCTGTGGCCAAAACCAAAGCTTTGTGCCTCCTTCTCGGATCCTACGAGCTGCCCACTCCAGTCCTCTCCCAGAGAGCCGTTCCTAAACCCCATCAGGCCTGTCCCCATCCTGGTATCAAGCCATGCTGCTCTTTCTTCAGGCAAGGATTTGTTTCTGTGACCAGTTCGCTATCGACATTGAGTAGTTTGCTTCAGAGTATTGCTCAAAGGAGGCCAACGTGCAGGACAGGCTGCCACCTGCCATTGAGTGGCATGTCCCTGCGCAACAGGTTTTCACGTACCCAAGAGTAAGGAGAAGAGTTGGGGGCCAGGCCTGGCCTCTGGGGCTCCACTGTGCTCCAGGGACACCCTGCTTGTGGTAGGAGGCGCACTTTCACTCTCCCTTTTTCAGCCTCTCTCCAGATAAAACCACAGGGACAGAGTCAAACAACGCCCTTGCTCCCTCCTGCGCTTGACCCTGATGCTCATCACCCCACGCAAAACCACAGAAACTCCACCTCTCACGCTGGCCAAAGGCTTCCTCAGAAGGTGAAAAGCACTTTCACCCCAATGTTTATTCTTTTAGCAAATGAAGACTTTTATCCTGAACCCCTGTTTCCACAGTGCCTTGCCCCCTGTGGAGCACTTGCACAAATGTAGAGTGAGGAAGATCACAGACTGCAATCAGTGAAACGCAGTCCGCGAGGCAGGGTCCACTGTGCAGGCACGTGTACATCACACACCCCAGGGACCAGGGACTCGTTCTTAGGTCTGGGATCAACAGACGCCTGGCAAAACCACCAGGAAGCTACTGAACCGTATGCCTCGATTTTCTCCCTGCAAAACTGGGGACAGTCACTGGACTCCACATCCTGGGGTTCCTGTGGGGGGTCAGCCAGCCAGCTGTGGAGCATGCTCAGCATGCCTCCCGGCGCTCAGCCAGGATCTCTGGATGATTTCAAGTAGTAAAATCACTGGAGGTGATGGAACTCCACAGCAGCCCGTCACAGAATCCACGTTGAAGGTGTGCTCCGAGGTTTCCCAAACCCTCCCATTATTAAGTGTTGAATTCAAGTGTAGAATATAAGCAATGCAAATTCAGCAGCACTATTCACTTGAAGGACAGGGGACAATCCACCAAACAGGAAACAGGGTATGAAGGGGGAATGTTCATGGTCAAAGAGAACACCAAGCCTGCGGGAAGGGAACACCACCACCTTGTTTTCAATACCATCTACTGCGTTGTAAGTTCATTGATATTTTTTTTTTTTTTAGAGAGAGAGAGAGAGAATTTTTTAAATATTTATTTTTTAGTTTTCGGCGGACACAACATTTTTATTTTTATGTGGTGCTGAGGATCGAACCCAGTGCCACGCGCATGCCAGGCGAGCGTGCTACTGCTTGAGCCACATCCCCAGCCCTTAATTGATTTTTAATACAGGAATTTTTAACTGGTTCACAACTGACTCATAAAATCCCTGAGAGTTTAATAATAGGCTCCTGTGAGCTGATAGTAAGCAGATGGAGACGGAGGAAGAAGGAGACACAGGAAGGTGAAGATTGAGAAAGCCATTTCTGCCCTGCAGATGTGAGTGAGCAAGCTTGGTGCCCTCCATAGTCAGACCCCCACGAGGGAGCCAGGGGCCAGGGTAGGGGGTGTTTTGCTTTTCCCAGAAAGGACTAGTCTCTGATGGGGCAGTTTCCATTATCAGACTGAACAATTAGAACCACAGACTGGATATGAACTGGTTTCCCCTCTACCCCAGGTGAGACTCTAGAATAAGATGAAGTCAGCTATTGGCAAAATAAGGACAGCGTGTTCTCATACACCTATGCCAGTACCAACCAAATCCTGACTCGGTTAAACAGAGCTTGGTGACATCACTACATGTTAAGAGAGATGAAGAAATGTCACTATTATAAAAATTAGTTTATAGCATGCACTTCTGAAAAAGATTGGGGACCATCTTCTGAAACCAACATACTGAACACTCTTCTATGTACCTAAGAGTCCAACACTGTCCTGGGCACTTCATAAAACATGTTTTCATTCTCTCCAACCCTACTTGTTTTCCAGTAAGGAAACAGAGGCTCTGGTGGAGGATGTGTGCCTGAGGCTACAGGTGGGGCAGGGGATGCAGAGCTCAGGTATAGCATCCCAACTCCAAGGATTGTGGTCTTAACCTAAAATAGTACTGGGATAATGGAATCTCAAAATCACAACAGGAAACACCAAGTTAATGCCTCAAAGTTACTAATTTTGTGGGAAACTGCCCAAATTTAGATTAAAATACTTTCTTCAAAAAGACAGCTGTTTGTAGTATGGATTCGGTAACATGGTTCCAATTACCTGTAGAGGGCACAGCCTCAGCACTCTCTCTCTCTCTAGAGCTTTCTTTCTTTTTTTTTTCTCTGACTTAATCTGACCTTTTTTTCTTCTATTTTGTTATGTATGACAGCAGAATGCATTACAATTCATATCACACATATAGAGCACAATTTTTCATGTGTCTGGTTGTTCACAAAGTAGAGTCACACCATTTGTGTCTTCATAGCTGTAGTTAGGGTAATGATGTCCATCACTTTCCACTGTCTTTCCTACCCACATGTCCCCTCCCTTCTCCTTCCTCCCTTCTGCCCTATCTAGAGATAGTCTAATCCTCCCACACTCCCCCGGCAACCCCATTATGAATCAGCAACCTTATATCAGAGAAAACATTCGGCATTTGGTTTTTGGTTTTTTCACTTAGTATTATATTCACCAACTCCATCCATTTACCTGCAAATGCCATGATTTTATTCTCTTTTATTGCTGAATAATATTCCATTGTGTGTATATATATATACCACATTTTTTAATCCATTCATCTACTGGATGGATTAGGATGGA